ACTTTTTCTAATGGATTAATACATCCTAAATCTAGTACCAGTTGTACTGTGACTAGAAATTGAAAATTAAATGACATTGTAACCATAACTCTCATATATTGAAAATTAAATTAAAAAAAAACAATTAAATTGTAGCATAAATTATCGAGCAACATAACAAGTTATATTTTAGTTCTACTGATTCCATATTGTTGTAACACAACACAATTAAACATTTACAACTATCAATATTAAAATTGTGTTTCTGGGATACGAACATAAATTCCATGAAAATAATTGGAATGGTAAACACTGTGATGATATTTACATTCATCAACTGTAATAATATAAAAACACGAAATGCATCTTATTTCAACAAAATACTGAAGAGATTTACATAACGCAATCCATGTTTAATGTAATGTAGTACTTAACAAAATTCTACTTTCACATACAGATGATATAAGTCGCTTATTATTACTTATATTGAATACAAACAGCCTCACATTATGTCACACGTCTATCTACATTACTGATTTTATGATATTTCACCACGCTATCAAAATACTCTGATCTAAGAACAATATGTTGAATAACATTTTTATATAGATACTCATATCTAAAAACATGTGTTTAGTACACGTACAGATGGAAATATATATACAATACATATAAAACAAACGCGTGATGATAATAATAATATATTGGATTCTTAACCTTAATATCTATCATGTTATATAGCAAACAGTTCTAGTCTAGGAATTTTAATATCTTCATGGAAAATGTTCTATTCGTTTATCTAGTCTAGGCTAATGTCTAACGTTGTAATATTACAAATTACTTGTTAGTATATCGAACATTTAACATAATACTGTATTAACTCAAAATTACAAATTTATGGAAGAAAACTTTAATGTTAAAATTAATGCAGCATTATATTCAGTGTACGATATGCAGTGTGTTAGTGTTTCATTTTGTGGAAACTTATTGTCGAGTGCTAAAATTGATTTTATAATTAAATAAATACTTTTATTAAGACCACCTACACAACATTAGGCTATTTATTTGGTAACTTAAATACTTCATCGTTATAGAAATAACAAAGAAAATATACACTACCTATGATGTTAGGCCATGAGATCCAATCATTAAATATAGTCAGGACCAGATTAACTATGAAGGGTCGCATATCTATTTGAAAAAAGTATTATAAAGACGTAGCTCGATGTTATTTAAGTAGATATAAAATATAATGAACTAACAGCATCGAAAAAAGAATTTATAACTTCAAATAACTTAAATTCAATTACCTACATATTGTCATTGAGGATAGAATTATTCTAATTATTTTCATTCTATGAAACATTTTCAGCCGTAGCCAATGCGGGACCTCTAGATAGTTGCCTACACGGATCTAATAGTTAATCCGGGACTGTATAGGTATGGTGCGTATAAATAATAAACATTGAATGCGTGTGCAGTTCGAGTACATAAACACGAATATATTTCGAGAATATTTGTAAGAAAATGTGAATAATTCGATGATGGAAGATATGTTACTTTTTATTGGTCCGATTCTAAAACAAAACAACAACGCGCAAATTATAAGACAAAATAATTAGACGATGGCACTCACGCTTCCAAAACTACATAATATTCTCAACAATTTAAGTCAAATCTTAATCATTGTTGCGTGATCCATTTAAAACTAGCTAAAGTAGTTATAAAGTTACACGGCAACTTTAACAATCATAAGACGAGAAAGGCTCGAATAAAATATAACAGAATATATAGATGGAAAATGTTAGTACCACAATGTATATGATAAAATAAATATTTCTACTTCCACTGAATTACTTTTTTTGTTTTTACAAAAATTATTTATTGAGAATGAATGCTGTTTTAATAAATTTTTAAACATTATAAAATATATATAAGTTCCTTTTTAATTTAGTCAGAGTTAATTACATTTTAACGAGCCTAATTTAGAGCCAAGTAGTAACATTAAATATATGCATGAATTTGTGAGATCTGCATAATACCATACCGGAGGTTTGATTCATAATATATTCAATCTATAGACGTATGGTATCTTCACACCATTAAACACCATTAAATGCATGCATAAATATAAATAAAATTACCGTGTGCCCGATTTGACAAAACATTTATAATTGATTAAATTATATAAAACATCAAATAGATCACACAACGCTGACTTATAAATATCCGTATAAACATTTAAGGAATGTAAGAGCCGATATCACCACTTTTGAGGCAGAAAAATAAATCCATCCAATTAAAGTCACTTTCCTTTAACTCGAAAGTGGCGAAATAGCCCTACGGCCGCATTGCCATCGTACATTGACAACCGGTTTCTGTAGGCCGACATTGGCTAATGATATTTTTATTTTGCTAAGCAAAAAAGAGTAACAATTGCATATAATACTTTAAATACAAGTGGATGTACATATATTAGTTTTTCTTTCAGCAAGAAGATTGTCAACTAGTTGCACTTGAGTAACTTATTAAATATCTACTTTCATTTAGATAACTATTTTTATATACTGTAATGTGACTCAATATACAGGAATGGAATTAATTTTATTGAGTTACACTTTGCTACGTAAAATTAAATTATAATATTGTCATGTAAGTAACAGTAATAATATAAAAAAAAAACAGTATGTAGTGATGTTAAATATTAAGATGGAAATATGATACGATGGAAATACGGCCAAAACTTATACCCCATTATATATATAATAGTTCCACACTACCATATCATATATTTTATATGTAATATTACATACAATACAATCTTAAAGTCAGTCGCATCATATATTCCCCTCCTGTTATAATACGTTCAATTTTAATGTTAGTAATATTATTTTTTCTTCACCAAAAAAAGGCGTCATCATAATACTAATACATATTTTCATTTCATGACAGTAACGTCATACAAGCAGATGGCCCACCTAATGCTAAGTCGCCATATTTGTCCATATATATGAACAGCACCACATATATTAATTACATTGTAGTCCTCAGGAATGACTCATGTCATCCTGTGGACTACAATGTCATGACACAGTAAATAAATGTCTTTACTATCTCCAAATTTCAATTCTGATTACAAATTATGCACTAAGGAAAATATATACCTTTTATTACTATTGGATACTTCATAAAAACTGAATGTATTATAACATTTCATTATATATTTACACCATGACGAATAATTCATTCTTACAGTCACACTAAGAACGTTTATCGTTAAAATAAACTGCACAAAATACCAACAATCAAGTTGTAGGATGTAATAAAATGTCTTGAACAAGATTTTGACTAATATAAATATAAACATTTAACCTTTTTCACGTACCTGCACCATCTCTTATATTATTTCTGTGCAGTTTATTTTAGTAATAGTACGAATAGGAAATTGACATGTTTCACATCTCTGGCGCTACTAGATCAAGAAGTTTGGATTGAGACTAATTTACCAAGGGTTTCGTAAATACACTACAGAACATAGTTATACATATTTAAACCTGAATGGCATATCACTATATTTCATCCCCAATTAAATTTTTTGACGACTCCAAGACTCGTTAACATTTAGCGAGGCATTATATTCATAATTGTTCAAGAAACATTTGTTTAGTTCTACAAGAAATATTGATAACAATATTTAACTTAAGAATCCCAGTATCAGAAAAACATTTATTCCTACAAAAATTCCAGAACAACATTTATTTAACAATTTTATTCTTATCTAGAATGTTAGCATTTTGTTGATATAAAGCTCTTATATATCAATTGTGATCTAAATGTCTCAACCAAAGGCCAATCATCAACTTTATTAAGTGGATGAAACAGTTGTACATTTCCCTATCATTCATGTTATTATTTTCATCCCAAAGTGTCAAATTCCTACATGAAAGTAACTTAAAAAACAGTCTGCGTAGTAACCTACTAATTAAGGACTTTTTATTTTCCTTCTCTTCCTCTACACAAATTCGACAGTCACACTTTTTACTTAGATCTACCAAAGTGGAAGCATTTGTATCTAATTGTTCATATTTGGCCTCACTGCTATCATTGACTTCCCTGGACAATATTGTAGACACTTCCTGTTGATTATATTCTACAGCGTGTAAAGATCTTTTACTGTTTAAGTCTCTCAGCCCACTAGGCCTTGCATCCTTATAAGTGCCTCTGAGACACACAACAGCTGAATGTGAGGACTCTGCTTTGAATTCTGTCGACCGGCGACGTGTATTTATATGATCATAAGTTAAAATATTTTCGCAGCTGTCGAAATTACTAGAGTTCCGTTTTACCAAAACCATTCGTCTCAAATCGTCATTAGATTTCTTACTTCCTTGATGTGACAGTTTTCTATTAGTATAACTTCTTCTCCTATCGTCTTCTCGATCACTTTCGTCACTTCTGTTGTTAGTTGTATCTAATGAGATACTCCTATAAAAAGGCTTACTAACTTCAATTTCATCCTCATTGTACTGCTGCCCGCATTCATCGATACTATTCGATACTATCATATCATCGAAAGATTCATTGAATGAATAGGTTTTCCGCAACTTCTTTAATCGCGGGCATACACTACTATATCCCATATCGACTCCTTTATAACTCGACCTCAGTACCGATAACGCTAAACTGCGACCAAAGAACGCGGTGTCAATATCAGAAAATGCCCGCCTGCTTTTCTTTACATAATGCGGAGGTGGGATGTCTTCGTAACTGTCCGAGTGTACAGTCCATGACGACGCTATGCTACTCCCTGACCAATCCGAACCAATATTCTGCAGATAGTTTCTTATGTCCAGACCACCATCGAGGGATACGGATCTTTTCAACAGTATATCGTGATTGAACCTGTCGGTGCGTGTTGTGACAAATTCATCTTCCTCTTCGAATTTGCCTAGCCATGTATCCCACTCTTGTTTGTGAAGATCCGTGTTGAGTATTTCTTGTCTCAGGTCTAGTTTCGACTGTGGGTTTCTTGTGTCCAAGTAGTGTCTGTATTTCGGTGTTGTGATGTATGAGGTGAGGATGGTGGTGGTGTTGGTGGGGTATGAGTGCCTACGCGGGGGCGGTGGGGGCGCCACCGGCCGAGGACATCTTGCTAGCAAGCGAGGATAGCGAGCGCCGGGGGAACGATCCCACGGTGATATCAGACTCAGCAAAGAGCTTGCGAAAACTGTAAACAGTCGTTACATTTTTTAAGACACTTATAAAACACGGCAACTTATTGTTATTGGGAATACAGCACTTAAACGTATTAGCAATAAGGATGGCAATTACCAGCATCTAGTTAGTGTTAAAACAATCCCATTCATAACTCGTGAATTACAAGACAAAAACGCAAATCGATTGCAAAGAAAAAGTTTAACCTAAAAACAAAAAATGTCGAAATTAGATTTATTCTTATTTGTACTTGGCAACATAATATACATGCAAAGTTAAATAACCATCGAACCCAGGCCCATTTTAATCCATTTTTGACTCCATTTCGTTAGTTGAAGTTAAAATAGAATATTAATTCACTCAGCTACTACAAATAACATACCAGTAAAAAAAAGTAAAATGTTTTAGAAAAAATCACGAGTTTGAGACAAAACATTGGAGTATGTACTTAAAATAACTGTTATTTATTTCTGTTTGGAATACAAAATTAAAGCATAGTCAAAATAATTACTGGTAACAAATTATTGAACTTTAGCCGATTGTGTGAGAACAAGAACAATTTGTCGTACTGTTCTTTAACCATTGTTCATGTGATATTCTTTAAACATCAAAATAATTTTGTCGAGTTACATATAAAGTTTCGCGTTAGGAGACAAACGTGCTTAATTTTTATATTATACGTTTTAGGTTTGAGATAATATTTAAAATGTTAAAGGTTATACACAAAAAAAAATACATAATTTTTACATACACTTAAACCGATAATGTATACGGATAATTACCAATATTTTTTTTCAGCTTTGAACTGGCTGGTAGAAATAAATAAATGTAAGTGGCTAATATATCCTATTTGTAGAAAATGTTTTCTAAATTCGAATTTAGAACGGTTTTAAAAAGTTATTGGTATGTTATGTGTAGTAGTGACGTACCGGAGGACGGGCCAGCGTCGAGCCGGCTCAGTACCAGGGGCCGAAAGAGATCCGATGCGGCGGGCTGGCTCGCGACCGCAGCGCCAACAGGAACCTGCATGGGACGGGCGGGACGGGCGAGGGACACAGGGATAGATACAAAATTAAAAATATAATACATACAACCCATATTTAAGGACAAATGTGAAACAAAAACGGTGATAATACATAATATTAGTGCTCGTTATTAAGAATATTTTTATAAATGTTAACGACACTTCTTGAAATAAAAAAAAAAATCGATAAAAATATTTGTCCGATATGAATGAAATAGTGCATTTAAATAAATGACAAAAAATGTTAATTACAATCGTTTCATGTTAATGACAAAATATTACAAAATGATGATCTGTGATATGAAACAAAACAATTATATGATTTTTAGAAGAATACATAATGAAGGAGAGGTAAAGGGGGTAAAGTTGTAAAGCGGATAAGCGTCCGTGTATCATTTAAAACTCCATGCAAAATCGTGCTCCGTGCCTAATGTTACGATGTTGTGTTTTTACGTGAGATCTCTTTCGGCCCTGGTCTCATTTTCCTTAACAAAATATACCTAAAACACATAAAAATAATTTGAACAAGTGACAATAAATTTAATATTTAAAGAAATACTTAAATTGTCATGCGTATTTCTATAACCCCAACTTGAAAACAAAATAGGAGAAAAATGTACCAGAACCAAATAAAGCACAGTGTAATATGATGACCGGACACCAAGGAAAAGGACTACAACACCAATGAATACATATTATATACACACAAATATATTCTTATACTTCACACGAGTATATAGTGCAGAGCAACTACCACCATCACCGACCACTTTTGATGATTGAATCTGTTATTTATTTGACTTCTAAGTATTAATTTATTAGTTACCATACAATTAATTGTAATAAACGAATAATGTCCTGTCTAAATGTCCTAGTTTCATGGTTAAACTATAATAATAATAACACAGGACAATCACACAGCGCATTTATTCCCAAACTGAGGGTGCAATATCACCTTCATTAGGTACTAAATAAGTTATAGAAAAAAATTGATAAATTTCAGGCGCATAATTGAAAGATTCGTATCGTACTAGAAAAGAATCCACGACCATCAAAAATAAGGCCATATGCTAAATCAACAACAACACAATACAATATTTACATGTAAATTAATCTACCTGTAATTTCAAAATATATATTTTGTAATTTTAACGCGTAACAGGCCTAAAGAGAACGATATTTAATTGTTGTGAAAAAAATCCTCAGTATTCTTTGATAGACTTAGGCGTGAAGACATAAAAAAAAATTAAATAGGCATAGACACTAAATATTACATGTATGTCACGACAGAAAAAATTCATACATGCAATATTAGCTACACATTAGTATTTCATGCGTATATTTAACAAATTGTCTATAATACAAAATTCTAAATACGATTTTTATAATAAAGATTTAGAATGAACACAAGTTTTAGTCTCATTACGCCACAGACAATATGACGATTACATCATATACTAACACAGGGCTGGCGTGCCTTTATGTACCAACGAAATGTTTAATGAGATCACAAACGATTATTGAAAAAAAAACTATAATACTGTATCAACAGAAAGCTCTTTATTTACTACAAAACAAAATACATAGTGAACTGTATTATTTTGAAATAAAATGCAAATTGGTTTAATCAATAGCATGCCCAAAATATCATATATCGTTGACATTCGTATTATTGCATTGGTTGGCCATCCCTAATCTACTACTTAACCATTTAACATTAAATACGCCCAATAGAACAGAGAGCGAAGGAGTGTGAAAACTGTGATGCCTTTGTCATGTTTACTTTGTTAGTAATTAGCGATTTAGTAGTGATTTATTAACTTCAATGTGCTCCTATCCTATTTGTTTGTAATGATACAAGTAAGAACAGAACGACTTCCATGTTATTATGATTAGTAGAAATGGGGCAGGGCCTTTTGGATATACTAACAAATATGCCTTTATATCGATATTTTAATAATTGAGCTGTATTTGTGGCGAGATAAGCGAGTGCAGTAGTGCGTGTACTCACAACTTCCTAATTCCACCGCTCTTCTTCCAGGGGGCGTCGTCAGGCTCCGCGGGTAACGGGCCCTGTACCGGCGCCTCTTCCTCTTCCGCTGCTATCGTGCTCAAAGACGGCGATGTATCTGAACTGCTATAATAATAAGTAGATATGCTGTATTACATTTACAACTGACATTTTTTTATGAAATTAGAAAATCTAACATGACCCCTATGATACAAAGTAAAAATCGCCTATACATCATCAGGAATATAACACGTATTTACTTGCCAATAACGAACAGACAGATAATATTAATTTTAGATGAATGTTAGTGGTTAAGTGGAATGGTGTTAGTAGTTAATTAAAATAACATCAGACCTTTCTGATGTTATTTTGATTGTAAAATATTATTCCTCTAATTTCAGGAATAAATCCAATAGACCACAAAATTCTAATACACTTATTACTTTCTTCTCCGAGGTGGGAGTATACTGTTCTGTGGGAGATCTGAATGTCCGGAATTTATTCTTAAGATTTTGTAAAAAAAAAGCTACATAGTACCAAATTTCGGAATAGTTAGATTTATTAAACATATCGTTACCTATCTGGTTGCGGTTCAACTTGCAACGCCTGCAGCTGTTCTTCGGCTCTATTGAGCTTTAACTTCAACTCGTTCCTCTCATGTAATATGGCGCGTAACTCGCGTACGCTGAATGTCGGCTTGGAAGACTGATCCTCGTCGTCGTACCCATCAGGTGTCGCCGCGCCGCATGCAGCACATTTCTATAACAATATTATTTTCATGTAACTCAGATATCAAATAGACGGCACACCTGATGACAACTGTCCCTTATATAATAACTAGCGACTTTCCCCGGCTTTTTTCTCCACTTGCATGTGTTATACATATAAACCTTCCTCTTTTATCATTATCTATTGCTGAAAAGTTCATTAAAATCCGTTGATTAATTTAAGATATAAGATAAAAAAGACAGACGGCGGCGACTTTTTTTATACTATGTAGAGATAATAATATCCGAAGTTAAGCTATACTTAGAGCTTGTGTTATGAGTACTAGACAACTGATACAAATACATACACATTCTTTTTGTAAATATATTCGAATTATACATAGACCATATCCAAATCGATAGAAACAATCATAATCATAATCATGAAACAAATTTTTGTACCGTGTGCGAGAAATCGAATTGAACCCGCAACCATAGGAACTAATGCGGTATGCTAAACCATGCAGGCAGTTGATATATATTTACAAGAACAGCACCAGGGACGTTACACACTCATGTGACGCCTGTGGTACGCCTCATGCATTTCCAAACTGGATATCATGCTACCATGCCATGCTACTCAATAATATCATTACCGTTTCTACTTAAACTAAAACATAGCGTACAAAGCGTTATATTATGTAGCATAAGATACCTGGTTCTACAGTAATATGTATATATGAATATCTATGTGTGTATGTGTGTCATTATAAATTAGTATTAAGTTAAGCACTTTTGCTGCAGACGCAACTGCTGAGGAGTTATGTGGCTTGATGATTATATTTTGTTTTTCTTTACATTTGTGTGTATAAAAAAAACAACCTGCCTGGCAACTGAAAGCGTAGAAATAGATACCCATGTAAGCGACATTGTACGAAGTCTACCTCGTATATATCGAGAAATGATTCTCAAACATGAAATTCGTAAACAATATCTACAAAAAGACTACATATACAAAAAATAGATAGAGTAATTGAATATATTTGAAACTATGTTGATTACTACATTGTATTTAATTGATAAGACTACAATCAAAAATCTAACTCAATACAGGAATTTAGTGACACATGATTATTTACCGTTATCAGTTAAAAAGTTAAGTGTAAAATAATTGTAAATAGCGAAGTTGTGATCAACAACTAGTCAGTAAACTTAATAATGTGGACAATCTTTACAAAGTATAAAATGAAGTGGCTCCCACTGTCAATTCACTTAGATCTTTTTATTATGATATTTTATTAAATTGTTTTTAGTAATAGATAGAGTGATTCAATAGGAAGGGATGGAGAAAGAAGATTGTATAATACATGTACACATTTGCGAAGCCGGGGCCGCTAGCTACTTAATAATAGACTAAAATAATTTAAATTTCAGAAAGTCTTTCAAATTACAAAATTCGTATTCACTATGTAAACGTATTTTATTATTAAAAATATTATTGCGTTACAATTAGTTTTCAATATTGTAACAGAAACTAATATACAACTAAACCATTTATGCCAATTGGGAAAGTCCATTGTATAAAATCATTTCTGATCCATCGTGTCGTGTGCAACGACCACCATTCCGCATTACAATCGCATAATTGCATGTGGCAGACCAAGTAGAAATATTTGTATGGATTCCGTAAAAATGAATGGTATTGTACGGCACGACATCTAATTTGAATATTGATTAAAAAAGCAACCTTTAATTAAACATTGTTTACATAAAGAACATTGTTATAGTTATAAATTCACGACCTCGTTGGTGTAGCGCTTTATTTCCGAAGGTTGAGGGTTCGTTTCCTCACACGGTGCAAATATTTGAATTCAGGAGTATGATTGTTTGTGTCGGTCTGGGTGTTTTCTATGTATATTATATATGTATTTACAAAAAAAAAACTAAGTATATATGTCAGTTGTCTAGTACCCATAACACAAGCTCAGCTTACATTGAGATAGCCTGATTAGGATAGAGCGCCTAGATGTCGCTGTGTTAATTGTCCAGGATTACTTGTTATTATTATAAGTTCTTTATATACATAACATTACAAACAATGTTAATGTTAATGTCTTTTTTTTAAACAATACTTAATCCAAAACATTGATTACGTTATCTATACTAATATTATAAAGAGGATAGATATGATAAATAGATATGATATTATTACATATTCTTTTTTACGTAATAGGAATGGCAAAACCCACGTGAGTTGTAACCACCGTCTAGAACTCAGTCATGTCTCGTACCCTATAATTACACTACCTTATCTCAACCAAAGCAAGCCGATTAGCAACTGAAATAGGTGAGACTAGGCAAACCACGCAGACGACTGTTTACAAATGTTAACTGGGCAAAAACTTTAGATTTATATGTCCACGTGGAATTTAACTTTATTGTTCTAAAATAAAATATCATTTTCTAAAATAAAAGTAGCCTTAGTTACTCCTTATTACATCAGCTACCTGCCAATAAAAGTGACGTCAAAATCGGTCCAGCCATTTCAGATATTAGGCGGAACAAACAGACAGGCAAATTTTGATGTATTTATATTCATATGCATGTAGTAAAAAATTGTTATTTCAATATTACAAACAGACACTACACTTTTATTTATATATATAGATAATATTAATTGCATTTAAATGCATATTCGTAACACACCATCTGGAAGGTTCATTTTAAGGTGAGCTAGGCTGCAAGCGGTTAAACATACAAACAATGGTTTGGTAGCCGCTGAAACAACATGCGATAAACATCTTGTCATTCTTAACTCTACATAGCATACTAAACATTGTTTACCAGCTTTTACTAGCGACTTCGTCTGCTATTTTGAGATTAAAGGTAACCAATATTTATCCTCATTATGCAAACATGTCAAAGATCCATTTAGTCATTTAGTAGTGACTTTTTCACATAGTATATAACGAAGTCGCTTCCGCTATCTGTTCGCTTAGAACTTTTAAACTACGCAACTGTTCAGTTATCCGAAGTAGGTAGAGTCATTCAAGAGGAAGGTTTATAAGATATATAATATAAGTACACACGAGCGAAGCCGGAGCGGGTAGCTGGAGTATAATATAATAATTATATACTTAATGAATTTACATTAATATAAATCACGTTATTAATTATGTTTTATATTGACCAATATCTACCTTGTTTTGTGCATCGGCCTGCTGGAGCGCGGCGATATCCCGTTGTTGCGATTGAACTATAGCTGTTAGTTCTGAACGCTCCTCACAAACTAAGCGCATCTGAAAGTAAAAAAAATCGTAGTATTTATTCTCATTTATCAAGACGATAATCGTTAGAAATTAAATTAGGAAGTTCATAACCGCACGCCGCCAGATTCAATTCCTCGCAAATATTAGTATTAATAAGTATGATAAACAATCTGACACAGAATTAAGTCTGGGTGTTTTCTATATATATTGTGCAGTATTTACAAAAAATAAAAGAGAGACAACTTTTAAAATTACGTATAGAAATTCTATATTCTCTTTTATCTAAATTAATACATCTAGAAGAAAATGCGACAAATATAACGTTTAGTTGATACTTGCTTGTCTTTAGTTCTTGTTCTACTGTATTCCCTTCCCGCTTCACCATATTACCACACAGACGTTTTACCTTATTAATCGTACTGTTAGCGGATAACAAGAACGCTATACTTTACGAAAGTATCATGCTTGTCTCAATGTGCGAAATCAACGATTTAATGAAGGTTCAATAATGGTATTTAATTTATAAAATACAGTCATATAACTATGTACATGAAAGAAAGAAAAAGTAAACAGAATGAAATCTTTCGACTTTAGTATTGTTCTAGGAAATAGAAATATATGTTGACATTTATGCTATTACAACCTTTAGGTAAGCTTTTAAGTAATTCCCTATGTCTCATATAGGCTACACTGCCATATAGATAGATATATGCCCACGGTGCTGTTCTTCTTGATTATTACAATTTGTTTCATATAAAACATACCTGATTCTGTAACTGCTTGTGTTTCCGCCGTAGATCGCGGCTTACTTGTGCCAACTTCTCCACTTGATTGGACAACTGTAATATTTCCAAAATGGCCATATTAATCACAAACAATACCGAATGTACTATTTATAGAATGATATTATACTACAACTCTATAGTATATTGTATCGTATAAAAAATACGAGTGTTAAATGTAAAAACATATGATAGTACGCACGTATCAAGATTGAGAGTTATCTGATATAACTTTATATTATAAGAGAGTTTATAAGTCAGCCGGTGTTAATACTGATAAACAATAATCAATACTTCATAACGATTGTTTTCGGTTTTATTTAATTTACTAAAGAATAAAAAACTTAAAAGCATTTAAAAATTTAATAAAGACCTTGTTATAAATTCTAAAATACCAAATATCTATAAAACTAATTCTACAGATTACTTATTATTGTACCATAATACTGCTTATTTATTTTTATACATCAATGGATAAGATATCTATTCTCCATTTCTGATACGTCTTCGTTGGGGTTTTGAACAATATTTTCTTTATTACACTGTTATTTTACTTAACATTGTTATTGACAGTTTTAAAGTAGGTATTTATTGTTTTGTTTGTTTGATGCTGATATGATAAATAAAACAAGAGGCCGCTTTGATCTAGTAAAGATTATAGATTTATCTTTATTTGTTAAAAGGTACAATAAATATTTGTTGTAAAAGAACAACAAAAATAAAATCCTAATAAATGTGAAACTAAGATGTTTGTTACACCTCTACTCTTGAATAGCTCAATCCATCATACTATTTTTTACATACTACGTGTACTAGGAAGGAAATTACCATATACTATTTTTATCTCGATCAATCAATATGCCCTGATCACGTGAATAATGGCGAGAGCACTGTTAGATAACAAATATTTCTTATATTTTTAGTTGCTTATTTTGTCACTAGCATTCTGGAAAATTGCCACATTATATAGGGCACCACGTCGGAACTATAAAACGTTGAATAGTGAGCCGACCGGTCGCCCTAGGGAACACTTATTACCCGTACAAACAAGTCTTTGGAATGAATATGCAAAGCTAATGGTGTCAAATAGCAATATATTAGCTAGATAGACCTATAACTGTATAGATAAATGTCGTATATGCATGCATTTTGTTATTATTTGTCCTAAATAGGGGTAAAATATACACGTAAAGTCCCTGCTTATACTATCTGATAACATTTGAATTCTGTGTTCAAACAATTGACAAAACAGAAGTACAAAACAAAGTTGCTAAAGAATTTGGCACGGAATAATTTAATACCTATAAAAAACTTATGAAAAACAGCTAAATAATCTGAAACATTGCTAATGAATATATTAAAGTTTCATTATATCATATTATAATAAATTTATTCAAAGATTAAGAAAAGTATGATTTTATTGCAATTAATACGTATAAAAAAATACTGATGATCGCTGTCTGTACATAAAATATATGTGACATAAACTAAGATAGGTGTCTTTATCAACGTAATAAAATCCAACACAAGGATTGTTACATTTTTTGCCTGTTTGGCTGAATGTTTATGTTTACAGACTTAACTAATTTGGGCGCACTTTTCGGTAAAGTATTGTACAAACTTCTCTTAAAATGTAGTGATAGTTTTATTCTAATTGGTGTACAAACAAAAAGATGTAAACTATTATTATTCCGAGTATCACAGATAAGAAGTCGTGCGCTCACCTAGTCCTAAGTATTTCATTTACATACTCCTAAATGAAACTCTTAGGACTAGGTGAGCTGAGTACCTCTTCCCACTCGTCCGAAGAACAATTATTATAAAAGCAAGAAATAACTGAGTAATTGTGGTAGACGGTGATCAAAGAATAAAACGGATATTTTAGTCGAAATATTTATGTTCATTTACTGATTAATTAAATAAGCTTGATTAATTAATGTTACAAAGTTTTATCCTTAAGATAACCTTAGACAGGCTCTATAGAAGTTCTAACATTTCTAAAATATAGAAAACCGAAGCTGTTTTATAAAGTTCAAAGGATTTATTAGTGACTACTAGTCTAATTAATTATTTTCTAAGTATTCCAATTCAGCTGAAATTTTATCATTTTATTAAAGAAATATAGGTTCGCCGTTATTTATCTGTTAAATTTAATGAAACATCTCGTATAGCTATAATAATATATTAATTTAATTTAATTGATCATAGCATAAATACTGTTTGGGTAAAATCATGGGAGCTTACCACGTTTTATTTATTTTTATTCAATTTCCGATATTTCGGCATTGTTACAACATCCATGATTACAGGTAAACAGAAGAGCTGCATTTAATTGGTAAATAAAATCTTTTATGGGCAGACATATTCCTCTACCTGCACAAGTCTTCATTTGGCCTACTACTGAAACTAGCTCGATACTTATCCCGGCAACTATACTCACAATATCTTCAGTTTACCCGTGATCATGGGGGATCAACTGCTGAAATATCGGGAACTCAATCAATATAAATAAATTGTGGTGGTCCAGTGATTTTTCATAATTGTACGTATAAATAAGGACCTCGTCAAATTTAAAACACTATATAATATTTAAGTAACTATTAAGATGAAGCCTGATGACATAATATTTCTATGACACATTGAATAATGATGAGTCACATTATCGCTGGCACTGCTACATACGAATCAAATTATTATTATCGATATTATACTCACAAAGAATTAACTTAAATGTTTTGTAAGAACTTATTGCATGTCTCTGCTAAAAAGAGTGCATTTCCTTAAATAAAGTAGAAAGGGAGAGTTAAGTATACAAAGTCATTAAGTTTACATAATAATCATGTTATGTCTAGAACTAACATATATTATGTCTCCAAATCAACAGTCAAGTTATTTACGAAAACAATACACGAGATACCAACTGTATTAATGACTTGTGTGTATATACTCCGATATGTATGTACATATCTATTAACATTATTATCTATGCATACGTACGACACATATATCGTATTACTGATAATGAATAATCGTACTATTTTTATGAATGTTTGTTATTATCTAATTCTGCAGAATACTAAAGTGTAAACCGAGTGCTACAGGTGTATGTACCTGTAGCACATATGTTTCCCTTTGTGACTATCATTGTATAGTACTGAAAGTAAACTTCTCAATAAATTGTCATATCAAATTTTTGAGTCATTTTTCTTTATCATTTGATATACATTAGGATTTAGCATTATTAGTGCGCGTATCACCTATTACCTGTGTGTGGTCTATATTTATGTATGTACCATTTCTGATTGTTCTTAATTTTTTAAACTATAATATGCTCATAATACATTTTCATGAACAACACTACAAATATAACGTGATCATATTCCGATAGCACCCCTCATACATTCCGTAGTATTAAGACGGCTTCATAACTTGTAGTTTTAATTAAATTAATAATTGTTGTAATATTATAATTCTTTATACAAAAAGATACTTGGTGGCGAAAATAGGTGAGACCTATGTACCCACCCACGCACCTTCGATATCTCACACCCAGAGTTAGACGACTTCGAACATAGTCTAACTCTGGGTGTGAGATATCGAACATATCCTGGCATGAGCGAGTAGCGCTTCCTGTTAAGACCATAAATTGAATTGAATTGGATGATAGGTGTAAAATGTTAATTTTATTACAGACAAGTAGTTCTTGTTCAACTCGACTATATTATTGTTTAACAGTATACACAAAGTAGTAGTATACACAAGTATACTCATAAGCATCATCATGACAACGCGTAATCGTTCTATTGTTAGGCATAGGCTCTCCTCCTAAGAGTAAATAATGTTCTGGGCCCATTGATGTATATTATTGTATGATGTATCCAATAATATATCGTGATGAAGAAAACATTTGGCTACGAATTTTATTAGTAATTAGTCAATCAACAAACTAGTTTAATTCGTCTTTACTGATGCTTTAGCGTCCTTCAACTAAGTTTGTAGATGTTAAGTAACTAATTTACTAGTTTCATTTATTGATAGTCTATTTATAGTCCCCAAGCAAACTAATCCTTTAATATTCATAATCATCAAACTGGGTCAACTTAATAAGCTTAGAATGCTTTATGGTCTAAGTGCAAAATGGCATACTTTCAACTTAATTGCCCAGGACGTAAAGACGCTATAAAACTTAAAGGTCAGCAGTATCTATCACATAGGGGACTGGCGGAAAGGTCGTAAAACTATCTCATTGATGTATCATGGAGGCACTTAAATATACATAAATAGGTCCTATTAAACACATACCTATGACTTTTCTACAATATAAATTCAACGATTTGGACAAATCACATTAGAGGAAAAATTATCATGGTGCCGAGGACAGATCATTTCCGTCAAAATGACAGCTCTAGCCCTACATACCATGTATATGCAAGAAAAAATTAACAAATAGTTTATGATGTATGGTATGTAGATACACGTAAATAATGATAGTTTGAAATTTGGATATATCACATAGGTCAAAATATTTGGACTGCTTTGTTATCAAATTGAACAGAATCAGATAATGTCAAAACTGCATAAGTAGATATCGTTGTGTCCTAGAATCGAGAAAATTGATTGTTTGAACGGTGCACTAGTTTTACCAGTGTTCTAATTTGATATGATGAAAAATTAAAATTACTTGAGAGTTTCTATATCAGTTACATTAAGAATTTTTTTATTGGACCCCCAATTTGGGTTATTGCGACGTACATAAATCCATTGTGCTCGCCCTTTTTCAGAGTTCGCTACCGAGACCAGTCAAGGACAAGAATTGAAGGATATTCTTAGGAGCGATGGTTTTTATCTCCTCAGCATAGAGTGTAAACTTTCCAAAGTAGATATTTCATGATTCAATTTCAATATTTTTATGCATGAGTGGGCTACAACCAAATAGGATATGTAGTGGCGTTATCGCTTCGGCTTGGCAAAATCTGCAGATTTTTGTTAAAGAATATATATAATAAGATATTGATTACGTATTATATTTAGTTGAATAATAAAACTAGCTATACTTCAATTTGTCACAGTAATATTATTGAAAACAAACATTCTAACGTATTGTATACCTTGTGAAATTTCATCGAAAGCTGTAAAAAATCAAGGTTACAAAGATTGAAATATATTGATTATATATTATCTGGTAAAAAACATTCATTAATGTCGATATACTGTCGTAATTGTTAACTTTCGTTGTCATTACTTTCTCTACTAGTAACATGATGATGTAGGTATATATATGTACTCGTATATAATTTGACGGCCTCGGTGGTCTAGCAGTTTAGCACACCACAGACTTCCCTTGATAATTGGTTCATATCCTCGCACGACAAAAACATTTGTATTCATGAGTATTAGTGATGTTTTATCAGAGTTATTTAATTCCGTTATATTGACAATGGTTTTACATACCTAACAGGGTAAATTTTACCACATTCAGCAGATGACAATAAATTAATAAAAAGTTTAATTCAATTAAAGTGAAAAGAAGAACGGACGTAAAGACAGACATCAAAATGTTGTGGTTAGCCTCCTGCTGAAGCGAATATAGATTTGCCTACATCCTTTTTAAACAAACAGTAGTGATTACGTTTTGTTGGACACATTTTTTATATTATTATAAAATCACAGCTTTACATTACCACTGTCCATTTATATGTTTTACTAGCTGTTCTCGCGACTTCGTCGAAAAGTAGCCTAAATTACTCTTACTTATTACATCAGCTACCTGGCAAAAAAGTCCCGTCAAAATCGGTCCAGCCATTTCAGAGATTAGCAACATTAAAAATGTTGTTTGTATATATATATAATATATATATTCATAAGCATGTAATAAAAAACGGTTCTTTCAATATTACAATCAGACACTCCAATTTTATTTATACGTATAGATGTATAGATAAATAAATCTACATACAGAAAAGATATCTGGATATTATATTTCTGAATTAGATATGATTATTATTAGATATGATTACATATATACACTGTCCCGGCAAACGATGTTTTGCCATGTAAATTAATAACGCTATAAAAAAATAGGGATTGAAGGGTGAAAATTTAGGATTGTATGTATTTTTGTATGTTGTATCATAAGAAAATAGAAACTAAAAAATTTGTCTAAAAAATAAAAAAATAAATTAGGGGTGGACTACCCCTAAAATTTAGGGGGATGAAAAATAGATGTTGGCCGATTCTCAGACCTACGCAATACGCTCACAAAATTTCATTCGGTCAAGTCAAAATTTTGAATCGGTCAATCCGTTTCGGAGGAGTTATATATAAGATTTATTTATAATACACTGAATAATTCTATCTATAATAATAAGTGACGACAAATTCATCGATTAACGTAATCTACAAGTTTTGTGTTAGATTGTAATAACTTATGTTGCTACTATATATAAACCAAACAAATAACCGATCAATTAGTGAAATTCTTGCAGTAATATTAAAGTAATACATACATTCTGTTAGATATAAAATTCTCGAGTCACGATGTTTAAATTCCGAAATTACACAAACAAATTTTATTAAAATTTACTAACTCTCCAATTTACTTAAACTCTTAAAATTTGTAGATAGTTTTTATTGATACCAATATCAAAACAAGCGCATGCGCGCACTACAGCAACGTGACGAATAATATCAATAATTACTGGACAATTTTAAAAACAAATTCAACACTAGAATGCTACATCATCCCTGAGTAACAAAGGCTATATTATAAAATATTAGACAACCCTTTTAAAATTAAAATTAAAAAAATAAATAAAAAAATAAGTAAAAAAATTTCAATTAATGAAAAGTGCAAAATTAGGACGGACCCTAGTAATTTCATTATGTACATACATATGTAAATTATATTACGTATTGTGTAAACACGCATATATAAGTGCTAAACACTTGCTATCTCTGTTCATGGTGTTAAACGACCTTAAGTGACCTCAGTTATCTACTGGCTACATGCCATAGCACGCATCTAATCAACTATCAATCAGCTGTTATCTTATTGTGTGTAAAACCTTATCACAGTGCATAGAAGTAGAGAATATTCATATAGGATTAAGAATAATAATATAGATAAGAAATATAAGTTAAATCACTATATCGATTTTCAAACCAATCAAATTTTGTACAACTCCTTCGAAATGTAATTAGGATAAAGTAATTAACAATGCCAGTTAGTTATTCTACAATTCAAGAGTATAAAAATAGCGAGACAGTGAAATAATGTTATCGGTGCGAATTACTTTTCAGTAGACCGACATGTTTATTTTTCACTTCAAACAACCACCAATTCAAACTATATATAGTTGAAATAATAAGAACTTTTCACGAATTTGTTCTTATACAAGAGTTAAATCAATATAAAAAATAAATTCATATCAGTTTGAACCAATTATCCATATTTAGGATACCAAAATGCAAGTATGCGCATTTTAAAAGTTATCAAAAGACAGCGTGTCCAAATAAACAGCGATGACCCACGATAATTGATATAATGAAATACTCATATCATATATGGCATTGAGCAAAAGATGATGAAATCTACCAACGTTTAAGAAACTTTGAAATTAATACAAAATCCATGATATGAATAAAACATTAATCTAATTTATATTCGCGTTTACTTTGCGATTTTTACTTTGCAAATCATTTCCTAAATTCTTATCATGTTATAAATTGAAAAGAGAATCTCTGTAATGTTTTCTTTAACATTCTCATTAGTAAACAGATCGATCCCGTGATTTATTTAGATAGAATTTGCAGCAATATTAGCAATATAATTTATCAATAAAGTTTTAAACGATTTTTAATTACAAGTGCCTATTATTTCAATTATTTTAGCCTGTATTTTTCTATGTACAACACACTATATCTTTAAAAATTATATATTTTTTATAATTTCGAAATAAATTTAATATCTGAAAATTCAGATGTGTATAGGTAAAAAATACTTAAATTATGAATACTTGGGCACATTAAAAAGTAAAATATTTAAGAATGGATATCATTAAAGACTTTTTTATGTAATAGGAATAGCCAGATCCAGACGACCAATCGGATGCCAGTGTTACCACTCATGCGATGTCATTCCGGATGACTAAGGTATCACGCTTCTGTATTGTATATTCACTGCCATATAGCTCACCTCGCTTCATCCTTCAACCAAATCAGCTTACAAAAGCAAGTAGTTTAGCGGCTGAGATAAGTGATACAAAAGTAGCTACCATAATATTTTTTTATGATAAGTTAACTTTATATAATACTCACACCATCAATTAGTTGCTGTTTCTCTTGTAGCTGCAACTCCTGGTGACGCAGTGTCGCTCGCTGCTTCTCCGCCGTGCTGCTCAATCGCGATAGCACTTCCTGATCATGTTCCCGTGCTGGCGAAGGTGGAGCACTTGTACCTGTTACATAATAGATAATATTCAATATGGTATTCTTAACATTGATATTGAAATATTTCTTTAACTGTAGTTTTATTCAGAATCTTTTATTTATTTCTATTTACGCGTTGTTTTACAATTTGCTCTAATAAACATAATATTTTCTTAGTTGCTTTTTTCTATTACTATAATAGTTCGCGGCTTCGCCCCAACATTTCTAAACAGGCTCGCACAGTTTTAATAAGTCTCTATCATAGTAACAAATTGACAGTTGCTTATTTTCCTCCCATTTATGGCATTCGGTTTTGGAGTCTTCCGACATTTCCCGACAACTTGACAGTTTTCAAATAATATGATTAATCAGTATAATATTAAGGATAATATTACATGCCTACTGTAATAAGATACGTAAACGGTTGTGGCGTAATTTAGTCTGGTAAACTCCTTAAACATAACAAATAATCTAGTTAATATCCATACAGACAGACTAACGCTTAAAGAAACATCTTTTACATTACGTAAAATTATTGTATATTTTTTTTTACTACTATGGTGGCAAACAAGCATACGGCCCATCTGATGGTATATGGTTACCGTGTCCTATATTATGGTAATCAAATACTTATCTCATTTCGCGAGACAAACAGACATTCAGGTAAACATATATACAATATTACACTTTGTGTAACTCTAAAACTGACTTTGTCACTATTAAACTAAATAGAGACAACTCATTATTTTGTCGTACTCACTATGTGTGACTCACTGTGTTCATATGTTCATGTTATGTTTGTTTTGTATTCCGCAGATTTGACGGAGATACGCCTTGGCATATCTGCTCCAAATAATCTAAATCTTGTTCAGTGGCCAGAAAATAGATAGACGTATGATTTGTAAACATTACTATTTACAAACAATAACGTTACATATTGTAACCACACTGAAATATATCAGGATAGCATAGGTATTATACATCAAACAACCGGAAATGGTAACCATACCATATACAGGAACTGCACCATGAACATCACGTCATGTCAACATGTGACGTCCGCATCACTCATGCCTTAGCATTCCGGCAGAGAGACATATGATGTCATGTCTCCTATATCCTATAACTTCACTGCATTATCCCACTCTTCGACCGAAACACATCTTACAAACCTATCATTTGACAGCTGAAATACATTTATATGTCTATAGGCGTTGGACATTTCCCTGTGACCTTTACTTGGAACCATCTATCTACTTAGACATATATTTACGTCCAAACTTCAACACGTTCTATTAGTTTTTGAAAATGTGTTAATAGCAAGTAATTAAAGATATATTTAAATTACTTTGTAAGACTAATCAACTAACATAGGCAATTACAGTAATGAACTAAAATTAGGAGACAATGGAACTAAAGTATACATACTATTATTGTATATATTTATAATCATATCTAATTCAGAAATATAATATCCAGATATCTTTTCACTAGATTCCTAGGAGGGAGACATAGAGAAGTCAGAAAAGCAAGATGAATGTGGATGATTATGGATTCATTGACAATATGGTCAATGAATCCATAATCATTAGACACTGTAGTGTCACCTACCCAAGTCTGAACCATCACCAGTTAAAATATAAACTAAACTTTACCCTGATAAAGATAGCCGCTATCAATACCAGCTCCATTAATAATATCTATAATATACGGTATATGGTACGAGTACGTAATGTATGAATAGACGCCTTTTGTATTACTATCTATTCGAATAAAACAATAATTTTAAAGTGAAGCTTGCCTGAATACTTTAGTAAAAACCGTACAAATATCGGTTAATATTTTTTCTCATATGTTTTCCATGCACAGACAACGACCAGTTATTTTTTTTTTTGTATATGTATAGAATTGGTTATATTATATGTATATACTTTTTCACTAACCGTCTGTAGGTGCATTTATGGTCCGCCTCAAGCGTTTATTCTCATCCTGAAGCCTCGCTACAGCCGTCACCAATTCTGCAGATTCATTACGCCATTGTTCCTCGATTGCTTCTATTTCCTACGACAAAAGTATTAAATTAAATTTAACACAAAACATAACAGTACAAATCAGTTCCAAGGTTGAAAATAACAATATTCCAAGTACTGAGAATACGTAAATCTGTGTTCACTCATATCACCTTTACTATATATAGCTATAATAAATCAAATCAAATCATTTATATGCAGAATAAAATGCTTATATATACAATATTATAATATACAACGTTATAATTTTATTTTCTCATTGCTTTCTTGATTTAATTGATTGATTTTAGAAATATGAAAGCGTAGCGGTTTTTGTAATAATTGCCGCATGCATTCTTATGTAAAATGTGAATACTATAACTATCAGATGGCAATTGTGAGTAGCTTTGACGTGGTCTAGTGTTTTGAGAAGTCATGCTCACTAAAATGTCCAGACTTGTGGCGGCGTGGTGGGCCGGGTCATTGGGCTCCCTAAAATATGGTCGAGCGCAGTGATGGCTGGCTCATCCGTCATACTCGTGAACGGGTGCTGCTTGTAGGGACTGGTCTGCTCTAATCACTATGACTGATTTCCTCTTATTAATTGTTTAACCAGTTGGTTATGTATTCAATATTTTTTCTTTTTGAGTATTTAATTGAATTAGTGCTAATTGGTGGTTTGTATTCACACACTTAAACTTAAAAATGTAAAGTAATAATAAAATTATTTAAAAGAGCAACACGCAAGTTTCTTGCTCGTTCTTCTTGTGATGAGACAGCTTTCCAAACGAGCGGTAGATTAAAAAAAATGTAATGACTATTCAAAAGTGCTTCAATGTAAGTTTATTTGAATACATGATTTCTATTCTATTCTATTCTATTAAATATAATGTCCAGTGTATTCGGCGTATGATTGAAAAAAAAAACACAAGAGTGGAGTGGAGGTACAGTATATTGTTTCTATGGATAAATCTTTGTAACCTTTTTACATTGCAATAGATAGTGTAAGTTCATTCATTTTAATTATTTCATTTTCACCAACACGAACTTCTGAGATCGAGAGGGAAACTTGCACGATTGAGCAAGCGAGCTCGAAACGAGCAGTTCCCGGGACTTGTGACCCGGGTGTAGATTTAAGAGACCCCGTGCCGACTTACTTCAACGCTCACCTTCACCGATCATTATGTATTTGTTGTTAACTTTATATATGACTTATTGTTCAGCACCAGTTCTCGAAAAAACTTGCATATTTTAATAACACTGTTTCTAGTAATCGACCAATTTGAAATTTGATAGTAACATATTTAGTAATACCTTTACTAGCCACATATTATATTGTAAAAATTGTATTATTATGATAATCATAATAAATGAAATAGAAGAAAAATCAAATGAGCTGTCCGTCACTACGTGATTCATAGAATAAGTTGCTTTGTGATTTAAATATAACGGCACAGGGGGAAAAGGGATTTTTAGTAACGTAGATTGATGATCTTATTGCTAGCTATATCAGGTTAACTTCCACGCGGTTCCCCCTGAAAACCATCGTGATAAATTCTTGGTGAATTTGTCACAAAGGGCTAAGTGACCTGACTTCGTGCTCATCTTATCATCCTCCACTGGTGCCCCGCCAGCGTAAAACGTTAGTGCCGACGGAAAAACCATTCCATTATCATCCATAAAAAAATAAACGGCACAGTAAACAAAACATACGCCATCGCACTACTACTTAAGAAAAACATATTCTTTATTCTATAAAATAAAAGGCAATATTTTTATTTCTTAAATCATATCAACAAAAACTGATAGGTAATCAGGGTGTAAAGAAATAACATAATTTGATATGCATGACGGATGCCGTTAGTTTGTCTACATTAACAGACAGCGTTATGCAATATTAACACAACATTTTCTCAATCAGTTGTGTCGTGTAATGTAACACAAGTATTTCGTGTCTGCTGTAATATTTGTAATATTATGACCATGGGCCCCTCACTGTAACAACGTGTTATTATAAAACGGTGTAAACTGACTGTTTCGCTTGCATGGACACTTATGAAAATACGACTACATAATTTATTTTAAAACCCAAGAGAGCAACCTAAAACCTATGAGAGCGCCGTGGCACAATTGTTTATGCTCCGACTTAGACCAATACGTTGTGAGTTCGAATCGGGCTAAAACTAAAAATCTATGTGTATTAATTTCTATTCCTGACTGACTTGTAGCAAGTCAAATATTAATCCGAGAGACAGAGTAAAGCTCGTTGGATTCAAATATACCCAGCGATATGCGAGCATGGCAAGAGTTGCGTTCAACGCTAGTTTTTTTTGGACTACTTTAATGCTGTTGGCCGCAGCTCTAGTCTTTACAGCTTGACTGGTCGAAAGAGGGCGAGTGCAGATGGCACTCCAAACCCGCGGAAAAACTTATAAAATCTGAACAACTGCCAACTCTTATCGTCTTAATTTCTATCCCCGTTTAAATTGGACGAGGGATCGAATGAAGGGGCGTTCAACGTTACGTCAACAATTAACAATGACAAATGATATACACAATATACCATGTAATAGTCTTTAAGGAACATTATTATTATTCATTCAAAACCCAAAGTAGAAATGCAGATAGCATTCATTATATACAATAAGTAAATCACTTTGAATAATTCATGTAAATGAACTGATTTACTACACAAATTGAGATACAATATTGAATAATAATATAATAGTTGGCTGATAACGCAAGACGTCATATTCTAAATTCGACCTTAAGAAATATCAGTCAGTTGTAAAGTACAGAGGTATTATTTAATAAGACGCACTAACATGGTATAATATTAACATTCCAAACTGAAATCTTATTTAAGAATAACTCTAAACATAATCAACAAAGCGATGGATTTTTGTTTTTGTATGGTGACAAAGATATTTTAACCTTACAAACTGAAATATTATCGAAAAATGTTTGAAGAAGTGACGCATTAAACATTAAATAATTATATTTACTAGAAACAATAGTATATTATTGTTCATCCCATTAGGAACGTACAATAATAAACAATTTAGCAACATTTTATGCTGAAATCCATTAGAAAGGACTAATTTAAATTAATTATAATTACCAATTTGTTTTCCAGTCAACATAACCTTTCGTCTAAAGCTTCTAACGATAAATACATAATACAAGATAACAAATGACCCAAAGTAAGGAAATTTAATAAGTGATTATATGTCGCATGCTATTTTTGATTGCATTGTAAATTAATAATCAAAATTCAAAATTCCAAAATCATTTATTCATGTAGGATATTTTAGCCGCTTATGAACGTTAAATTTTATACATTATAATTTTATTTTCTTCCCTACCGTCCAGTTCAGTGCACAGATTAATAAAAATATGTAGGTTTATGTTTATTTTGGGATTTGTTTTTATATTACAATCTATTTTTAAATCAAGCTGAAATACAATGCTTTTACAAAAATAAACAGCTAAAAAGTTATTCTAATTAAAATATGCAAAACATTGCATAATTATGGATATATTCACAGAAAAAGTAAAGGACTTGAGCTTTAGGTTGTCATAATGAAACTCTCTCAACATCTTTGTTTACATAACAACAGCAAAGAATTCTACCAGGACCATTATGCATATTTTAATATTTTGAAGTATAAGCAGGGCAAAAAATAAACAAACAGAACAAGTATATTATGTGTGTTAAGATAGTCAAATATTTATTTACATTTTAGGAACTTTGACTCTTTACATGTAATTAAATCTTTTTTTTTTAATTATGTCTTAAAAAAATGGCATTTATAGACCTCAATATTAAACAAACTCGAACCAGTGGTTATTAACCGGTGGTCTGAGGTCCATATCGTAGGTATTGGTCCACGACCATTCCTTAAATAGGACAAAAATAAAAATAAAATGAAAAATCTGTTAGCTTTGAAAAATATGTCTACGAGCTATGATATAAAATATAGGATTCTATAATTCTAAGAGCAAACTTTTTAACTAATATTTAGGAACTCTATGGAACCCTTAAACATGATGACAGCGTGACAAAAAATTTGACAAATGATCACAATCATCGCTGAAAGTTTAACAACCACTGTTGTAAACAATCGTAACAAAATTAAGAATTTTATTTCATAAGAAATAAATATAGATTGTTTCACAAGACGCTTGACTATTAAATCTGACAATAATTATGTATATGTAGCGAACAGTAGAGTGTACTTTATCGATAGTAATTAATTTAATTCTGAAGTAGAAGACAATACAAACATATCTACTCTTAAAAATATTGTTCCAATAGAAACCCTCTTATTTTAAGGGTACTTCGAAAAAACCGATTCTTAACGAGATAGACCAAGAGCATACTAAAATAAACGGCACAGAAAAGAGATGCATAGGAATTGGTTAAGATGTATTTAGATGATATAAGGATTCTCTTAGTTTTCAAGTTTAATAATTAGAAGACAAAACACTTTAATTTTCATATTTGTTCATACTTTATAACATCTACTACTTACACCTTTTATTTATAATACTATGTCAACATAGAATGTCGTTGAACGCGGAATGCGTCAGTGTTGCATACCAAACTAACAGAAGCACTTCTATAATAAACACTTTATAGTTAACCTCATTCCACGAGTCCAAATTGGTTATCTCTGATAAATTTATTTGATATCGTTTTAATGTTATCTTATATACTTAATCTATTAAAAATAAATTCAGATTATTTGTTTCCTGGTATGATAAAATCAGATTCTTTGGTACAGGCATTTATGCATAGAAAGAGATATTAAAGGTATACATTTTATGCGAGTTCCCAAAATAACATAAGGGGACAGCACAAATATTCAGACACATCATATCATCAATTATGAAGCTCGCTTGCATAAACAAACGTATTTACGTTTGTTTAAAGCAACTTATGGCATCTACGAATACTGTCATATGCGCGCGATATGTTTATTTTTAGTTTATCTATTACAAATAAACATACAAAATACAGTTTTTCCTTTTTAATTATCAGTCTAGATGTATGGTGATAAAATATATTAAGCCTAATTTTTATTGAGAATATTTCACTCGACTAATTTTAATTACTTCAAGTACTAAGCAAAATATGTTATGTATAAAATTTAAGTATTTACTAAAAAGTTATTTCAAGTAATATGATACTCGTATGTATGATTTATGAACCCATATTTATGGTATACGGCACTCAATCATATTGATTGCTGATAATAAAATTAGATAACAAATTCGCATTAAGTACTAAAACTCAATCAATATAAATCTGTTGTAGGACTTTTCTCATACATTTGTTTTAGTAATTAGAATAATTCAGAAATTAAATGAACGAGAATTATTTAGCTTTTTATTGTTTTAAATAAATAGATGCCTTCAATTTGTACGTATGTTTTTCGTAGTTTTATGCGACAGTTAGACATTTTGGATGCAATCTGATCATTATTTTTTCATTTGATATTATTTCATTACATGTCATGTAACGGCTAGTCTTAATGTTTTAGTGCAAAAAAATATACGATTTCAGTAGGCATAATGTTATAATAGTTTTATATTTTCCAATTTGCAGTTTGCGTGTGAACTTATTGATCGAACGAGGTGAACACAGAGCTTCTACTGCGTGTAACCACAATATCTGGATGTAAAGCTATTTTATACGATTAATTAGAAATATAATTTTATAAACGTATTTCATGATTTACTGAAAAAACCTATAAAAAATATGACCGCTGATAAAGCCGTTCCATTAAATTAAAGTACAGTGAAAGGTACACGATATTCGATATCAAACTCTAAGATCATGCAGAGAGAACTTTCTAACGCAAACTAACCCAGACAATATTAGCAGAGCTTATTTGTGGACATGGCATCATAAGGCAATCATGATGATATTAAATACACAAATATTTTCCATACTTTCTAAAGGAATCAAATTTGTGTGTTTATTTTCTCATTATATACCTGTTTAAATAATCCATAAAATATCACTATTCAGAGAGGTATAATATAATGTATATGTACTTATTATATTTAATTGTGTTAACCGTTTCCAAATATCGCAATAAATATTCTGGATGAATAGTGAGTTTCCATAAAAACTATTATACTCTTGCATTACTAGCTTATCTACGATTCTATCTATTTTCATGTAAAATTTCGTTTAAATTTGTTGAACACGTGAAAAGTAACCAACGCAGACAGACACATTTTCGTACTTGAAATATTAGAAAAGATGTTTTTAAAATCTAGCTGTTCTTTCAACTTTGTCTCATTTATTTGAGTTAAAACATAGCATATCCTCGTAAGAAAACTATCTGTACTATCTCTAAGAAAAGTAGTTGATACATTAAGTGTATACATACTCCTATTTAATTGATATATGTATACTATGCATATATGCAACATAATATACATGTGTGATTAATCTGAGTAAATACCTACAACCTACATGAAAGGAAATATTCAATGAAATTGTTCAATTAACCATAAAAATATTTTATTGGTCTGTAAATTACCAATTCATACACATAGGTTTCTAGATTTATTTCAAATGGAATATCAACCGATAGTATTCATATGACAGTTATTATATTATATATAGATATAATACTGTCTATCAATATGATACTATGTGTATATATATATTCTTTGTGGATGATAATGGTATGTTACACCCATTTGCACTAACAATATACACTGGGGACACAATTATATTAAAACATGTATTTGTAGTTACAAAACACTCATAATAAATTCATAATGTACCCTAATTCATTATAGCCTTTTGTTACCTACTTAATGAGGTCCACTTCAATAAGAGTAAAATAGAAAATATGTATAAACCTCCACATTTTCTATTTTTCTCTGTTCCATTGTTTCCATAGAAGTTATTTTTTTATTTTCATTTAATTTCCATTGTTAGTTCTTCACTAAAGCCTTGCAGGCTGTAGAAATGTACTATGTCCGGTTGACCTCCACATGTTCCCCTTTGAAAACTATCCCTGTTAATTCCTGGAGAATATTGTACAAAAACTGATTTCAAATTAATTTTATATATTGTCCACTTCATTATCACACAATGTATTGCATGTTGGACTACATACACACATTTAGCCTCTCGTTTGGGCTGTTGTCATGTAGCAAGCAGCAGCTGAGTATGATGAACCTAGCTCCTCCCAGAACTACAGAAAGCTCCTGGTGGATTCACAGACTTCACAGACCAACCGCACTATTCCGAGGATTTGTGTACACTGTATAGTTACTGCTACACATACAAGAAAAATGTGAGCAACCATTTCTTCACCTTCAGTATAAGTATTTTTTCAAATTAAATGGATATTGAAGATTTTCTTGTTAAGGTTTACTAGCCGTTTTGTTAGTGTTGATTTATTTCGGGATTTTTTTTTTCTGTGCCTATCCTGCAATCAGTTGGATACTATGAACAGATGTGGTGTAGGTGCTACGTCTTATTTCTGGAATTGCCACTTTTGATTGTTTATAATCTGTGGTTTGTGTCCATTTTTGGTTTTGTATTTTAGTGGATATCTGACAAATAAAATCAAAGCTGTGAAAAGGGAGGCTGACATCACAATGTCACATTGTTTTTCCTTCAGTTTGTATGTTTCTTTGATTAGGCAGTCTAGGAACGTCAGTCATGACTGTAAGTCAACTTACATTGTTTCAATTTATGTTTTATGTTTTGATAGTATTCCTCAAGTACTTATACCTCAATTGTTTTGATTTCTGATTTGTATGTGCTGCAATATGCATATTTATATTCTGAGTTATGTGATCATGATTACTTGTAATATAAATACAGAATGTAAATTCTCCATTCCAAATGTAAAATTCCATGAGGATTTTTTAAGTCATTAAATGTGAATATAAAAAAAACCTCTTTCAATTGAAAAGTTTTTTGTCTTTATTCTTTATGTGATATTTTTATACTTACCTAACTTATACATTTTTTATAATACAAATTTGATATTTTTTAAGTAATTTTTTTATGAACAATTTTAACTGGAAGATTACTTAGTTGTTGTTAATTACTAATTTCAATAAATTAGTATATAATACTTTTTTGAACTAATAAATCATAATATAACAGATTATATTTAAAACATAAAAACATATTATATTAACTAATTAAATAATCAAAATTTACGAGCTTAGAATGATTGCCGGCTCACTGTGGCTATGATTGGAAAAAGATAGGAACACATGGAAAAAGCTGGAGGAAGCCTTTGTGTCTAAAGGACATGTTAACTCAGAGATTGATATGCAGAATTATAAGTAACATATACATATATAACTAACTAATACATCTATTATCTAAAAGAAGCTTTGAATTTGGATTAAATAATAATTTACAGGAAATAAAGACATAAGGATACTAATAAAGCATATCAATAATATTATAATGTTTATTTTGGAAAAAATAAAGAACTATAGATATAAGAAAATTTACATACAACGTAATCTATCATTAATAGATAGTTATGTCGAAAAATTTTTGTAGTTATATACACAGATACACTACCTAATAATAACATAACGAGAGCTGTCAGCAGTAGTATATCGAAGTGAGACACGCACAAATTTAGTGTCTAGGTAATTATAATCGTGCAGCGAGGCGTCTGATGGCTCTGATGTCAATGTCGCGCAATAGGAGCGCCGCTTCATGCTTTTGCAACTGCACTCAATGCAAGTGTCGAAACAACGAATATTTCATACATTCAATTCAGCAGCACGCACTAAACAACCAATTTAATAAACAATGACCTTTTGATACGTACCTTTTCGAACCGTTGCCTGTACTCAGCCTTCTCTATCTTGTCGTTTTCCAATTGTGATATTTTTGCCGTCAACTCCTGTAGCGCCTGATTCTCCTTCTCATTACGCACCGCCAAGTTCTCCAGCAGCTCCAGTGCATTTATCACCTTCGGCAATAAAGCTGTTACAGCGTCAGGGCCATATTTTTCGATAATTATTTCACATTCCTTGCCAATGTCCGATGCCAAATCGTAAACATCGACAACTGTTACATCGTCGTCGTAGTCTGGCATCTTGGCGGAGAAACGTCTTGGGTACGGCATTAAAATCACCTTGTTTTCACTTCACAACACAACATAAAATAAAGATTACAGAAAACTATCCACCATAACCACTTTTGGCAAGTGCGCCATTATTACTAAAAAAAAACATAAATGACACGGAGAACGAAAGAAATTAGGAACGTCAAATTATACAGAGTAGTATTATTGTAGTATCTATTAGACAGAGTAATGATAAAGTAACAATTTTTTCATTCACTACGTAACTAGAAGCTGCACGTGATATGCATAGCAAAAGAATTTAAATCTTATGTCCAAGCGGTAAAACACAATTTTTTATTCAGTGACGAAATAAGTAATGAGTGACGAGTGAGAATTCCACTTCGAACTTTCTATTTCCTTCACACGTTTACCAGTACAAAATTATATTGCCAAGGTATAAAGAATATAAAAATTGTATAGTTTCTTTATGAAATCACAAAAGATATTTTTAGAATATATTTTATGTATTAATGAAGTTAGTAAAAAAACAAAAAATGTTGTTTTGTATTTAGGATTAACATTTTTCTTACTACGGCGCCGCGACGCGGCGTACCGAAACTAAGGATTATGATTATCTATTTGATTGTTTTATTTACTTATTAGCTAGGTGATTTAATTTCGTGTGATTGATAAAAAAAATAAGTAAATGTAGTGATTATTTTCTCAGTGGTTCTTTGTTCGGCAAGGTAGACTAAGTTTTTCTTGCCGCATGAATATATAATGCAAGCAATAGCAATTCTCACTTTATACCATAGTTTGATACTTATATGAATTAAGCTTTTTGTAAACATGAATATCAACAACAGATATTGTCAAGTATTATTAATTCATTGGTTCCGAAACCGTACAACTACATCAACATACTGTATGGATGAACGGATATATTGTAAATGTTAGAATAAATACACCGAGCAGGTTACTACAAATTATTACTCTAGTGAGACATTATTCCTGAAATAATAAAGTTAAATTTTACACTGTTATTAACATAGTGGGTATTTCTTTGACAGCTCATACTGGTGTGTGAGTTAATTAAATCAACTTATTTGTATGTACTACATTGTATTTAGTACCTAGAATTATTTCTATGTTATCCATGACTAAAAAATAAAAAATTAACCTATTGAATCTTATCATCACTCAATGAATTATGAAATCGAACCTGTAAAGTTCATTGTTCTGTCTACATATAATGAAACATATTTTTATATAATAGACCAGACGATTTTCTTCTCTCCTACTTAAAAAATTAATAGATTTTCAATTTTATTATCTCTTTGTGGAACCAAAATACTTTATTTTGGTTGTATATTAATCTTATCATGTTTAACGTTTTTGTTAGTTCATTAAATGCTTAATACAATACTTGAATGAATTAATCAGTAAAATAGTGGTAATATGAAATCGTAACGTAATTATATAATAATCAGTTGACTATTAGATATAAAAATATAAACATGTTACTACTTCATATAGTTTACCAATTTTATTTTCATAATTAGATAGCTATGTCGCTGCATAGATTGCCTCTAAAGCAGGTAGCTACGACATAAATTTGCAGCCAATCTGAAGAAAGGGTTCTATTTCATGAAAATGACGAGATTCGCCACACACGTTACTATTTCTAAGAGCGCTGTTAAAATATCGATTATTAGCAGCCTCCACTCACCACTCCACAGTCTACACCATGCGAGATTCACGAGAAGCAACAGTTGGATGGAATCAACAGGCGCGAACGCGCGGGACGACTTTCGCGCGCATTTTTAAATTCTTAGCTGTTGTTTACTACAATTCAGGCTTATTAAATTTATTGTTCGAGAACAAATTATGAACTATCAAAGTAAAGCTAACAAATTCGTTTGTCCTAACGACCGACAGCTTTCGTTGCGAGCCAAGTAAGTAAATTATTGGTATTAAAAACTCGTAAAAACTTTTATAGGTACTTGCTTAAATTTGAATAATAAATTATTTAACAGTTTAATTATTCTACCTAAATAATTACTGAAGTACGGTCTCATTTTAATCTAGTTATAAATATCTATAGATAAATACTTATAGATACTTCGTTTTTTTGTTTTTGTTATACGTAAAGTTATCGTGATAGTTAGGTACTCTTCTTATACTTAAACAAATTTCGTCTCATATGTTCGTTTTATTTAAGTAGTTGCGTAAAATTGAAAAGCTAAATGTTAACATTTTATGTTCTTATAAAAAAAAAACGATAAACAGTTATTTATAGCTCATAATAGAAACACGTGGAAATGAAGTAGCTAAAGGTTAAGGCCTCAAAGTGTATTTGTAGGTAGTTCACACCGAGGGGTGGCTTTGAACAAAATCTTACCTTTATATCATTTATTTCCGATGGAAATATTATTATTATTATGTATAATTATGGAATGGTACATTAACGGTAATAGCTGGCAGGGCTCCAGTGCATTAGATGAGCATTCATTCAAACTATTGTGTCATACCATGAAATGTACGAGATGGCAATGAAATGGGGGAGCACAGGCCTAGCATATCTACTTAAAACAGCTATACATGACAAGCAGGTTATGGAGACAGGACACCCCATGCTCCAGGAAGTGTAGTGTAATTAAAACTGGCATCACAGTGTACCTAATTTGTACCCACATCTCTGGTGTTGTTACTGTTTAAGTAAAGGCAATCGCCTAGCTGACAAGACCCTCTCTGCAATGTAATTTGTTACACTATATATTCGAAATCAAAATCATAAAAAAAAATATTAAACACAGAAAAATATATATTATACTATTATTTTAATAGTTTTTTACTGTCATATTTATACACAGATATTGTTAACCAAATCTTTCGGTTTTTTGAATAGTTTAAAAAGAGTGGTATTTTTACCCACGAAGTATCTCAATAATGTAGTAAAGTATCTTGCCGACAAGCGTAGGTAGTACTTAAGTACTTAAGAGTAATACCACAGATAACATAATATTACATAGTAATACTAAGGCACATAGGAAATCTCTTTTACAAATAAAATTAAATGTCGCAGGGCGCAGGTTCGTATACATTTGTATTCAGGATTTCAATTGTTTCTATCTGTTTTGATCATATGTATTTTATGTATATATTTACAAAAAATATACCTATATATTTGTATCAGTCGTCTAGTACACATAACACAAGCTCTACTTAGCTTTGGATTAGATGACGCTGTGTGAAATTGTCCTGTGATATTTATTAAGGCTCTTTGGAATTATACCTAATTACTTTAATTAGTGGTGAATAGTGGAGATACTTGTCGATAATTTATAATAAAATATTTCCTTGTGTACATTAAAAAGGAAAAAGTGTGTCTGTTTGTTATATTTTCGCGACTATACAGTTGAATGGATGTTAATGAAATTTGGTATGCAGGTATATTGTACCATAAGGATGGACATATCTTTTATCTAAAAAGCAGTAAAACAGCGAAATCGCGGGTAAAAACCAGTATCTAATACATTTGCATCTATTTTTGTGAACTCAGTTGATTTAAATGCCTTTTGGGAAAGGAAAAACAATATGTTTCTAAAAATACTCCGAGGCTATGTCAACATGGATTATTCAGACGGTATTGGCCTTGCACTGCATGTTACATACGCGTAATTCACTTATCTCCCTTTGTGCTGTATCGTATCCGTTTCCTGTTTGTGTTACAGTCCATTCACATCGAGGAACCATAAAGGTTCTATGCGCATTTAGATCATCGTCAGATTCTTTTGTATTTCTCATTGTTTATCACATTTCTTCTTACTTGTCAGTATCATCTGATTGAGTGTTAAATTAGACCAGTTTAGCACAACGCCTGATTTAGTTGATACCTAAATATAATCTAGAAAGTGAAGTGAGATTAAAAGAAGAATGAGTGTATATGTAATAACTTGGAAATGTAGAAAGAAAGAAGTTGCCTTAAAGTAATGAAATAAAGAAAGGACAAAGTACAAAATATTTTTTATATACTTCCTAGCTACTCGCCCCAGCTTCGCCCGGGTATACATGTATTATATAGATAAACCTTCCTCTAGAATCATTCTATCTATTAAAAAACCGCTTCAATATCCATGGCGTAGTTTTAAAGATTTAAGTATTCATAGGGACAAACAGCGACTTTGTTTTATACTATATAATGAAAAGCTCTTATCAAGTTTATACGACATAAAAATTGAAAAAATACATAGACAAGAGCGATTGACATGGACATTTTTGTATTCCTTTAAGTCTTATAATAAAGAACGCATGCATGGGGTTAGTATAAAAATGATAGAAGGGGAGATTATTGAAAAGATATGTATATATTATAGGTATAAAATGACCATGTATTAAAATGAAGACGATAAATACAATTTATAGTTTACAAATCAGAATTCACAAGAACTTGACAATTTATTAGATTCTGTCGCTTATTTACCGTGCAATGTCTGTAAAGGAAAGTACATACAACAGAATATATCCGAGAAGTCAATTAATGTAATTGTGCGGAGGATTCAATTTATAATACTTTATAGTCATTAGCACATAGTAAGTCATCAAAGTAAAATACAATATTAAAATTGCTAAATATATTTATATGTTTATGTAACTAATCGCAGTTTGTACATGAAAGATATATAAGACTAACTAAGCAGTACTGGAGTCATTATCAACTTTATAGAACCCATGGCAATTATTGTTGGATTTTTTATTTTTTATGCACGTTAACTACGGTTACGGCTCAGCTGCGGCTCAATTGAATTAGCTACAATTTTCACTAATATATTGGTAACTGTCACATAATAATAAATTTGTGGGTGTTTTATTTTAAACACTTAGAAAAAATATATTATTCCTACGCGTACGAAGTCGCAAGCTGAGCTAATTATGAATACCTGTAATAACTTTCCAAATTTGTAATAATTAATTGGTATAATCCTGGCAACTACATTAAAAAGACTTGGTCAAAAATTTTGATGAAGTTACAAAGTGTATTTCGTAACTTTAGCAAAGTTGTTTCGCCCCTAATTCCCCTACGAGGTTTATACCAAGTTCTTTAAATTCGTAATAATAAGTAGGTAATTAAAATTAATAAGCAGCTCCGTTACTTGTAACATATTTTTAGAATATGATAGGTACATACTATAGCTATATATTGTGCGACGTGCCTAATCCTTTGATATTGATAAACAAATTCCTGTTCACTACCGCCCACTAAATACTGTGCCATCTATTGCAGATACTTTATAATTTTTCTTTTGCTTGGTGATGTAATAAAGGTCATGGGAAAGATAGATAGAGATCTTTCCCTTGACATTTATTACATCACCAAGCTTCGTATGATGCTAAAATCTATGTGTTTATCTATAGAAAACATAGTTTTTTTTTGTGCTGTTTAGTACACTATACATAATTGTCGACTCTATTCAGTATAGAACAACATTTCTATTCGTTTGTGTAAATCATCATTGCCTTGCCTTTATCCCATTATGTGGGGTCGGCGCAGTATGTAAATAATTAAATAAACCAAGTCATGATATTTAGGGAAATCATTTATTTCAAAATGGTGGTACTAGAAATACAGGAATTACTGTTCTTTAATAAACAATTCACTATAGTAGTAGTCACTTGATATATTTGATCTCCCAACAATGGATACTCGAAGTCAGCCTGAAGCCGAGCACTAAGCCGTCTAATGCCCCTTATCTCCGAGATTGGAATGCTCTTTTACCTTTATGTAGATATATCCTTTTCGGCTAAAAGATAGATATGTTGAGCTACTTCAATATAAAATTAAAAGAAAGGGTGGACACAACACAACACAACTTTTACGCATTTGTACGAAACCGCCGTGAAAGCTCAATTCAAAAAAATATTTACCGAAATTAATATGGTGCAAAATTTCAAGACAAATGTTCGAGTCGTCAGGTCTTTTTAATATTCGCGAAGGAATTTTCATAATTCCAACAAGTATATCTACATACATACTGTCTTCCAATGAGACATCTACAAATCTATAGTACCTACTAATTATTTAAAATGTCTCAGACATTGGAATCATATTTACACATGACACTAACGATTATACGATCCCATATAAATCACTTCAAACCCAGTATGACTTTTTTCCAATAAATAACACCCGACTCGAGACGCACCCTTCGTCAACCGTAACCCAATATCCTATTATCTAAGTAGAATAATGTAAAACTATTTTTCCTTCATCCTCGTGTAAATTAATATAGTATTAGTCATAATAAAATATTAGTCATAAAATATAATTTTAATATTTCACTCGTTATATATACATAAGTAAGAAATAACTAGTGATGTCATAGATGTAATTTCAAATTTTAATACGACTACCTTTTTATGGTTTGCCAATTCTGTATTATTTTCGCTGATATTTTTATATCTAGACAATCGACGACGATCCATGTAACGCCACTGTCATATAATTTGTTTAAAATACATTTAAAAGAAGATAAAGAAAAAATGGAATTTATCAGTCCGTTTAGTCTTCGATGGGACCAAAGTTGAGGGTATTAGCATATTCATAGGTAATGACACTGATCTGATGCAAGTTCCATTCCTACTTAGTGCGAGAGGCAGAGGCAGTTGCGGTTTTTATATTTTAGTATACGTTGCTCATTATTTTAATATTTTATCTAGTAAACATTTTCTTTTTGTTAAGCTCGTTACACGGTACTTAATTTATATTATTTTTTTACTGGGATTTATGTTTGCAGACATTCCTGTATATTTTGTATTCAACAGGTAAAAAAATGTCGGGTCTTCCGTATAATATATATGTTTTCAAGGTTTCTTTCTTCTACCACCTTAGTAGGTGGTACAAGATACAACGATACAAGATACACAGCAGAGTGGATTTGTACATATTATATAACAC